TAACTACTGTATGTGGCCTACGTCAGACCGCTCCTGGAGTACGCCAACCAAGTTGTTTACTCAGGACTCACGAAAGACGTCACCCTCATTGAGCATGTCCAGCGGGCCGCTACGAGCATCGTTGCCAGCCTCAACCCCGTGAACTACGAAACGCGTCTCGTGATGCTTGATCTCTTTCCCCTGGAGCACCGTCGCTTCCGAGGGGACCTAATTCTGACTTACGCCCTGTTTGGTAAAAGCTTGGCAAACAGGTTTTTTACCGCTGACCCAGCAAACACCCGGCGGGGACATAGTAAGAAAATTTTCAAGCTCAGAGCACACACATTCATTAGACAAATTTTTTCTCATTTCGGTTAGTAGCTGCGTGGAATGACCTTCCTCCGACGGTTGTTCACGCTCCTTCTAGAAGCCAGTTTATTTTACTATTAGACATTTTTTATGCGAATCCTGTGCTGGCAAAGCACACTGCCCCGCTTTGAGAACATAAAGAGCAGTGCTGCACCCTTTTTTCACTTGTGCCTTTCAGATGGACGACAGCCCGTGACCAACGAGAACAAAATCGACCCGGAAATCTTGGGCGAAAGCCTCGATCCTGTGTATCAATCCGTGAATGGCCCGTAGCTACAAGGTCCACATCCTCCTTGCTCAGAGATGGCATGGATATCGGACGTCCGGTTATGTACGCTTTGTGGAAAGCAAACGGTGTGTCTGTGTGAACTATTTGACTCGTTCAGTGATATTGTGGGCGAAAAGCATAAGATGAAGACGTTCGTCGAGGACAAACTGGCGGGAGGCGAGAGCAGTGCTTTGACCGTTTTCGTATTTGCTGTGTTATCAGAAAGCATGTCTTTATTGTTAACCATCCGTGTCTTTTGGCCATAAACGCTGCAAACAGCCGGCACACATTCAACCGCACGGCTCGCCTAAACAATACCGTACGGTAGGTTTCCTCTTTATCATGAAACTGGCGCACAGCTTCCGATAGGATCTGCAATTTCTGCTTTTTGCTTAACCCCAATTCGGCTCTTGTCTTCGGGCCACTGGCTGTACTTCATCGGCAAGCGGGCTGTGTACGCCCGATCCTGGATAGTCCGCTTTGGCGATGTGATCAGTCATCACTTTCTGGACGACAGTGGTCACCTGACAAAACCATACAGAAGGTGTTTCGGCAAAGTGGGTGCGGGAATATGGGATGCATACGTAGTACCTCTGTGACCCAAGGGGAAGTCCGGAGTGTGACGGCTAATTTCCGAACGCTGTCTATCGAATGGCCGTGTATGCGTCTTCAAGCCAAAGCCCCAAAAACTGCATTACCATTCTGTTTAACTAACAAGGTGAGGGAAATCTACGTTGGCTAAACTATAGTTCCTTGTGAAACGCTTACATGCCCCCAGGCGGTTGACACCTGCCCCGGTAAATGCACCTGAACCCTCTACCAGGTGGCGTGAAATCCTTGTATCTATGTATCGCCTTTTATGCGGAGCCTGTCAGTTTCAAGCAGTGTGAAATATTATTCATAAATGGTTTCCAAGTTTGACTTTATCTACCAAAGGTTATAATCTGATGGCAACCTACCAAAGCAAGGGATGACACCCACCTTTTACCAGGCAACCGCACTCACTGAATCGACAGCCGCGAGCAAACAGGTTTATAATGATACAAGTGCACCAGTCAGAGGAAAGAGACGACGATTTCATGTGAGGTACGTTAGGCCCATCAGTTTCATGCTGTTTGTCCGTGTTTCTTGAGACCTGATAATCGGTAGACAACAAGCTACAAGAAATAATGCAATGCGAACCAGGCACTGAAGAGAACCTGGTGCAAGTGCCGTTCTATGAGATTATAGCAGCAGAAGTGTTAGTAGTATAGAGAAAGAATTGCTCCCAGTGTGTCAGCCGCATACCAGTGGTGGCATTTCACCAAACTGCCCTAGAGCTTACCCTCATTTCATGGCGACAGATGCTCGATTAGCAATGCACGCCAGGAAAGCATACGATTCCTGCCTGACTATGAGTAATAATCGAAGTGCTTATTGTAACTGAACTTTCATTCCCTCCGTGTGAACCATTGAATTTTCACAGTCGAGATAGTTGGGCACCTGTTACTCAATTCGTCAACGCCAGCTGCCCGTCGGCTGTCAATTCAGCTACCCGATATGATCGACGTCGGCTACATCCAAATAGCTGATTAAGCATCGCGGACGTTTAGCCGCATGGTAGTCGTTGGCTAAGTTGCCACTGATGTATTGTGCAACCGTTGGCATGAAACAATGGTGAGCATTATGATCAGCTGCTTATCATGTATATCTTGGCACCATTCCATCTGGAAACCCCTACACCAGGTGTGAGTAACCTGGCGCCCTGTAGCACTTGTAAATTGCTCTTTTTCATGCTCAGTATCATCTTCTTTTTCTCCATCACTATCAGTCACATCGCTGTACAAAAGCTTGCTTTACTGAAATACGACCACTACCGCCCGCTCGTTGGCTCCAACGTGACTTTGAGACTTTTGCTGAGTGACTGTTGTTGTGACCGACGGCTGGCTATATTGAACCGCTGCTAACACTAAACGTGAACAAACATTTCAGCTACAAACACTGGACTAATATATTCACGCTTATGGAGTGATATTTCGACCACCGGAGATCTGGAATACCAGGGGGGTAGAACTATTCTTGGTGTGGTGGTTCAACGGAATACGGAACTACGGAATCTCCTATTTTGGACTGTGAGTCAAGATTTACTTGGATTTTTCTCCTTGTAACTTTGTATCTGGCTTACATTAGTAATTTACTCTGTTCATTTGAGACTCCATAGGGCTGTTAACCACTATAGTGCTTTGCCATTTCCAATGGAAAACACCGCTTCAGCGTACCACAGAATCTGACCTACAAGCCTAAGTTATCGTCATCTGCGAACCATATGTTCTTCAAACTTTGTATGATTTATCCAAATGTGATGGATGTCTTGCGATTATTACAAGAAATGGCAATTCCAGAGCTCCGAGAGTGCGGTATTCGGTGTTCGCCCCGCCAGTTATAAAATACAAATCGAATTTATTTACATGAGTGACTCGCATATTTTGAATCCACGGGTGCAATATGGGCTCTAGCAATTGCGATAAACCATTTTAGCTGCAGAACTACCCGCCACTCGAGTTCACTCTGCCGCTTTTGGACAGGGAATATACATTTTCGTGGCAGCTGGATCTGGGTTGGATTAGGTTCGTGAGCTAGACAGGGGCGGCAGTAGTTTGTAGCTCAGATAAAGGATAAAACCATATGGTCTTTGTTGTGCAAAACAGCAGGTGTTGATGTGAACAGGGCCAGTAAACAAACAACAACCATCTGAGCAACAGCTTCCTGGAAAATGGATAAGGGCTGTAGTTCAACTAGAAGCTATTATCATTTCTACTACCGCGTGATCTTAACAGACCTAAGAGCATGGATCGCTAGCCACCGAGTCACGTCGTCAGCTCCAAGAAACAAATGGCGCATGGCAAAAAAGGCCAATAGGTGCTGGCCGCGGCTTCAAGTATTCAGGTTATAAGAAAGTCTTTGTGTTTTTTATGATCGCTTCAAAAAATAAGAGGGAATAACGTGTGTCATGTCTGGCTGATGAAGTGGACTTGAGGTCGTGCATGCTCAACTGAGACGAAGGTGGCAACAGCCTGCACTTCCATGTTAGCTACGAGGCCCGCATGGTATCATCAAACTATTCTGTGCATAGTTTTTGAAAATCAACTGTCACTTGCTTGCATTCCTTGGCGTTGCCAGACGTATGACAACCGGAATGAGCTAAACCAACTACTGAGCAAAACTACTGTGCCCTTTGATGGATTTCCTGGTTGAAGGTTAGCCTCAGAACCACTGGGGGGTTCCCGTAATACTGCATGGTAGCGGATAAACGAACGTACCATGGTGCAGCGTAACACGGCGACCCTCCCCGTGGACCGAACCCGCCCACCGCACGAGGATTTTAGCCCTAGTTCATGTTACCAGATCGGTATGATGACAAGTCACTAAATGGTCATAAGTGCGGCCTGTGCATTTACGGTCGATCCCAGCAGCAAAATATTCATATGGTCGAAGAGAAAACCAGGTCGGTTAAACAGCTCAGCCATTTCGAACAAGCAAACAGCCAACAGCCACTGGAAGAAGCAAGACACGGAGACAAATAAAATGGCAGTTACCTAGTGAACCTTGTGAGTAGAATAGAGATACAAAGAGCCTAGTATTATGGCTAAACGACGACGAAGCCTCGGTGTCACCCAATATGTTGACTGAAGGCGCACCACGAATTCATTTGTGGGTGAATGAGCGGGTTGTGGAACCAAAAAACTATTTCATGCATCGTGCACCTTCTGATCAACTTTTTGATGTGTATAAACTGCGTGCAGTAAGACAATGAGGAATGGTTCAGAGCAGCGAGGCGATAAGGCCTTAGTTTAATTGAGGTTGGTCTATTCTAGACAATCAGTGCACCAGGCACTAAATAGGGCTGACACAGTTAATCAGGGACGGGGCCCGGCTTGAAAGAACAAGGAATAAGTGAGCTGAGAAGAGAAGCCTAAGGCCAGATTTGAGGAAATATAATGGGGCCAGCTGAGATGGGCATAAAAACAATTACAAGGGCAGTTATTTGACACTGCAAGAGACTCATGCTTCAGAAAGCAGGCGCAGATATGGTGCCAGAAGTTGGAACGTCCGCATAAGAGATAGGTATGATATGATATGGTTTATGAACAAGATTCTTCAAGGGATGGCTGTATTACGTGTGCGGTAGCGTTGGAGTGTTTGTTCTGGTGAGTGCACATGCCGCGATGGGAGGGTAAATTGGAAAGGCCAAGGGTCTGTTTCAAAAATTGTCAAGTGTAATCAGTGACGTCAAAAGATTCTTGGCTCTCTCAAAATAAAGGTATAAATCGATGGCCTTTCAAAAGCCTACATGAGATAGTACGGATATGGGAAGGGAGCTTATTCCATAGTATGGAATACAGGCAAAGGGAAAAGTTTTGTTTAAAGACAGTTTTGCAGGTTGCTAATGGGAGCAAAATCCAGAGTTGCGGAGATTACAGATGGCAAAGAGAATATTTAGGGCAGCAGTCAGCTTTGTGAGACCGTCGATAAATTAGACAATGCAGGTGGCCTCGGTTCAACCTAATGCACCTCAGGCATAGAAGATCCGGCGCAAGTGACGAAAACTCTAGACGATATGGCAGCATGGATGACGCCGCAAACAAGGACTTGGTAAACTAACGCTGCTCCACACCAATGCTGAATGCCCGCGAGTACCGTGTGGCAAAATCAAGGCTATTTTCAAGAGTGAGTCTGAAAAACTGCATAAAGATGGCAATTAAACATGGTTTATCATGAAAAATTGGCTAATGAAAGCGTGAAGCAT